ATGTTTTTAGTTTGGATTCAATCATATTCGCTTCAAAACAAAGTACTTTCAAACCATCCGCCTATTGGCTTGTGTAATTATTAAGGTAAGGTGTGTCTTAGTAAAATCTTCCCTATGGTACGAGAAATAAAATCTGCTATTTGATGCTGAAACAAAACATTGATAATGATGATGATGATGATGATGATGAGGATGATGATGATGATGACGATGATGATGATGATGATGATGATGATGATGATGATGATGATGATGAGGATGATGATGATGATGATGATGATGAGGATGATGATGATGATGAGGATGATGATGAGGATGATGATGATGATGAGGATGATGATGATGATGATGATGATGATGATGATGATGATGATGATGATGATGAGGAGGAGGATGATGATGAAGTTTATGTTCCGATCATTGGAATTAAAAATTGTTACAAACAAACAAATGGGTATTTTCTGTATCACAGTGAAACAGTGATTACAGTGAAAAGACCAGACCACCTCATTATCAAGACCATTTCATTTCAGTTCCAAAAATAATCCAGTATACCTGTCATCTTGTATTTTACGAACACCTCACCATTCACGCCTCCTCACTATTAAAATCAGTTTAAAAGTCCTAACAACCAGTTTTGTATTGACTTCCGACTCTGTTATCGGACCATTAACTTGTCACAAAGTCAGAAAATTATCTCATTTGTATTATTTTAATACGTCTTGTCCTGAAGGAGGTCTTTATGGTGACTCTACATTTTCATTATCTTTTTCACGATGCCAGTTTGAATTCGCCGATCTATTTGCGTGCTCTGTTATCATTACACGGCCAGATCTCATCGCTCCATATCAAGGATGAATGTCTTAAATAATGTAACATTGTAACATGCTTAATTGAAACATGGTACAATTAGAGCTGTTCTTGAAATCCTACAAATTGATCGTTTGTCATACGCGACTGGTCAATATTGGTTACAATTCTCGAAGTGTCTATAACGTTTTCGTGGTAATGTTTTTTTTCTCAATTCTTTATGTTTTTTTTCCGCAGTGATAAATAAAAGATATTCCTGTCTATCAGAAAGTGCCAGTGAAAGGTTCACAAGGAGGTCATACTCACCATATCTGGATATCTTTGTGTTATGGCCTCGATGCACATGGTTACACGCTGTCTTGCATCTTTTACGATCTCTTCTAGGATGATAGTTCAAAGTGCAAACAGACGATGACGATGCTTGAAAAGAGAATTGTCCAAGTACATGTACTTGTAAATATCTGTTTGGTAATATTTTGAAATCCATGGCATTTCCGATATACGGCCATTGTTATACTGTATTTCAGCGATGTGTGTTCACATTCTAAACAGAGTTTTTTATATATAAAGTTATGACATGTGTGTTGTTGTAATGCACCTTTTCAAAACGTTCATAGAACGGTTATTCCAATGTATTAGGCAATACTGTCTGGACAAAAAAAATCCTGAAGTTTATATCTGTATTTTATTGATTCTTTGAAAGTAACTTGTATCGTCGAATGTTCCCACTTTTGCCTCGACGTCGGTTAGCTGTGTTTTAGTTTTAAAATCTTACGCGATAAAACCGCACAACGTGCGCATAAATTTGAGTTAGCTTATTTCGTCCAGTTTTCATACCGTGCTTACATCGTGCACACATTGTACAGACACCGTGCACTTTATCATGGTAGATATAGATTTAGAAAGGACATATAGGTAACAGTGAGGTAGAGTTTATTTATTTTCCAAATATATGAGTACAACTTAGTATATTTTCTAATTTAACTATAAATCTATAGGTTAGACACATGTAGATCTATCAAATACAGACTGAAGAATTATACACATTCGTATTATAATGTGTTTTGTTCACAAAGCGTCACAGGTTACACGGGTGTTAAAACTATGTAATAGACAAACCAATTAATACAGGATCCAGCGTTATTTCATAAAAAGTCGAATTGAAAATGACTCACCGATCAATTGTGATATTCCTGTGGTCGCTTTTCAGTCATCACTACACGTCCGTTTAAATTTCAATCCGTAATATTAGAAAACCAGTTTTACCAAACCGCAAAAATATGCGATTCTATCAGAGCGTGTGTGCTGACGATGTATGTATGATGTGCGCATGAAGTTTTTGGTGCGTTGTGCGTTACCACAAATACAGTGACTTAAAAGTAAAACGGTAAGTCATATCAGAAGCTTAATCATTGTTGATTATGTTTACGATGTAGAACAATGCGTGATGATTGTACTATAGTTCTCAGATTACTATTTGCACAAAGCTAAAATCGAATTTTCATTGTTGGGAATAGTCTAAATGTCGAGAGAGCCACCGAGTGTAGCACGGAGAAGAAAAACGATCAGTTGCTCGAAATATAACCGTGACCAACATTAAACACAAAATCATAACCAATATCAAACACAAAATCATGACCAATATCAAACACAAAATCATGACCAACATTAAACACAAAATCATGACCAACATTAAACACAAAATCATGACCAACATTAAACACAAAATCATGACCAACATTAAACACAAAATCATGACCAACATTAAACACAAAATCATGACCAACATCAAACACAAAATCATGACCAACATTAAACACAAAATCATGACCAACATTAAACACAAAATCATGACCAACATTAAACACAAAATCATGACCAATATCAAACACGAAATCATGACCAACATTAAACACAAAATCATGACCAACATTAAACACAAAATCATGACCAACATTAAACACAAAATCATGACCAACATTAAACACAAAATCATGACCAACATTAAACACAAAATCATGACAAACATTAAACACAAAATCATGACCAACATTAAACACAAAATCATGACCAACATTAAACACAAAATCATGACCAACATTAAACACAAAATCATGACCAACATTAAACACAAAATCATGACCAACATTAAACACAAAATCATGACAAAAATTAAACACAAAATCATGACCAACATAAAACACAAAATCATGACCAACATTAAACACAAAATCATGACCAACATTAAACACAAATCATGACACATTAAACACAAAATCATGACCAACATTAAACACAAAATCGTGACCAACATTAAACACAAAATCATGACCAACATTAAACACAAAATCATGACCAACATTAAACACAAAATCATGACCAACATTAAACACAAAATCATGACCAACATTAAACACAAAATCATGACCAACATTAAACACAAAATCATGACCAACATTAAACACAAAATCATGACCAACATTAAACACAAAATCATGACCAATATCAAACACAAAATCATGACCAATATCAAACACAAAATCATGACCAATATCAAACACAAAATCATGACCAACATTAAACACAAAATCATGACCAACATTAAACACAAAATCATGACCAACATTAAACACAAAATCATGACCAACATTAAACACAAAATCATGACCAACATTAAACACAAAATCATGACCAACATTAAACACAAAATCATGACCAACATTAAACACAAAATCATGACCAACATTAAACACAAAATCATGGCCAACATTAAACACAAAATCATGACCAACATTAAACACAAAATCATGACAAATATCAAACACAAAATCATGGCCAACATTAAACAAAATCATGGCCAACATTAAACACAAAATCATGACCAATATCAAACACAAAATCATGGCCAACATTAAACACAAAATCATGACCAATATCAAACACAAAATCATGACCAACATTAAACACAAAATCATGACCAATATCAAACACAAAATCATGACCAATATCAAACACAAAATCATGACCAACATTAAACACAAAATCATGACCAATATCAAACACAAAATCATGACCAACATCAAACACAAAATCATGGCCAACATTAAACACAAAATCATGACCAATATCAAACACAAAATCATGACCAATATCAAACACAAAATCATGACCAACATTAAACACAAAATCATGACCAATATCAAACACAAAATCATGACCAACATCAAACACAAAATCATGACCAACATTAAACACAAAATCATGACCAATATCAAACACAAAATCATGACCAACATTAAACACAAAATCATGACCAATATCAAACACAAAATCATGACCAATATCAAACACAAAATCATGACCAACATTAAACACAAAATCATGACCAATATCAAACACAAAATCATGGCCAACATTAAACACAAAATCATGGCCAACATTAAACACAAAATCATGACCAATATCAAACACAAAATCATGGCCAACATTAAACACAAAATCATGGCCAACATTAAACACAAAATCATGACCAATATCAAACACAAAATCATGGCCAACATTAAACACAAAATCATGACCAATATCAAACACAAAATCATGACCAACATCAAACACAAAATCATGGCCAACATTAAACACAAAATCATGGCCAACATTAAACACAAAATCATGACCAACATTAAACACAAAATCATGGCCAACATTAAACACAAAATCATGACCAATATCAAACACAAAATCATGACCAATATCAAACACAAAATCATGGCCAACATTAAACACAAAATCATGACCAACATTAAACACAAAATCATGACCAATATCAAACACAAAATCATGGCCAACATTAAACACAAAATCATGACCAACATCAAACACAAAATCATGACCAATATCAAACACAAAATCATGGCCAACATTAAACACAAAATCATGACCAACATTAAACACAAAATCATGACCAACATTAAACACAAAATCATGACCAACATTAAACACAAAATCATTACCAACATTAAACACAAAATCATGACCAACATTAAACACAAAATCATGACCAACATTAAACACAAAATCATGACCAACATTAAACACAAAATCATGACCAACATTAAACACAAATTTAGGCACAGATTTTATTTGATGATATATTCCAAATTTACCAGAATTTCAATCGCCATATCTGTAAATCACTTCATGCATGGTTTGACCCACTTTTGTCGACACCAACTTGGTGTCCTCTTTGAGACGGACTTGCCTCCTCCAACCCTTACTGCCGCAAAGTAGATATCAGCGTGCTTTTTACAGGACTCTCGTTTAAAGAATTTAGCAATTGCATTCTTTGCTTTGAGGGTTCCACATATCTTTTTCATGTTTTTCTTAAATCTTCTGTCGCACTGGAGTCGTGAAAGGCCAAACCTCCGAAACTGTTTATAAACATGTTGAAAAAGACTTTGAAATATATCATACTTTCTCCATTCATTTTGTTAGAGATACAAATAAACATTGTTTTCTATTAAAAACATATTGATTTTTATGGATATTTCAATATAACGCAAGTTCAAATCTAAAAAGATTTTTTTTAAAAATCAAAGAAATTAAAAAAAAAAAAAAAATTCATGTTATCAAAATCTTAAATTCAACTTAACGATTGTTTCTAAATGAAATTCGTTTCGTGATTATACAAAATACATAAAAGTTGTTAACACATTTCGATTCATATTTAGATCGTTATGTAACAAATGTGACACAGAAGGGTTGTATGACGTAAATGCTTGCTATCCTCAGTTATGTCCTTTGTACCATCTTAGAATAAGAGACAAGAATAGTAGAATAATAATCAGACTAAATGATATAAGAGAGTTTATGCTGATTTTCAAGGAAAGAAAATCGGGAATTAACGAAAGAGATGAACACATGTAAAGTTTAAGCTAAGCTTCATATTTGTGAAAGTGATAAAAAATGAAAAGTGCTTACTGCACACCTTTTGGTATTCCATACTTACACAGCGATAACATATGTCGTGTTTGTTACAGGCAGGCTTGAACCTCCCTTTGAACTCGATTTTAACACCCTTCGGCACACTGCAGCCATTTGAGTAAGGGTTTACGTTACAAGTGTACTTTAATTGTATGGTCACCGCTATCATAGACATCAGGCATAATACCAAAAGCGCCACCTGTAAATATCAAATTAATTGATAAACATACATATTTATTTTATCTTTTATTTGTGTCATTTTTTTAGTTAAAATTTACACATGAATCTTCTTCGTCGTCTTACCAAATTTTTAACAAATCTGTTTATTTATTTATTTATTTTTTTTTTGTGGTTATGAACATGGATATTTATGCTATCACCGATTCAAATTCGAAATAAGTCCGACATGTTATGTACCGTATAATTACGGACTAGTAGATGTGTAACCTCTATGTAGGCTATAACAGATACCTATATAACCATGACTGAACGGATTTCCGAGTACAATTCTGATAATATCACTCATCCATGACTGATCCCATTCTACCTTTGTGCTCACGTGTCTAAGTAAAACTTAGTAACATCTATGCAAATGAGTGTATACCCGACAGACGTATTTATGGAGTCATTATAGGAAATACACAAAAGGATGATGGTGGGCATGTCTCTACACCCAAAAAAGGCCTTCAGACGTTTCAAGGAAATCTAAATAGATTTGAAATGCAGGAAAAAATCGTTTTTTATACATTATAATGCCTGAATCGCAAAAATTCACTATAGTTGTATAAAGGGCTTGTGTGCAAACTTGTTGTTACAATTTACAAATCAATCTATTTGTACACGTATAGACAATTCAATGAATTATAGACATGTATTGTATATAAGTTTACATATGTAGGTGTTGCACCGATGCGTTTGATTTCCGTAAGGACAACAAGTCGATACATCCTATATACAATATGTACATTTTTGTTTTATTAAGAACATCTTATAGAATATCAACTTCTCTGGAGTATCTTTAAAACACAAGCTACAACCGCATTACTTCAATACAGAAATTGTGTAAGAAAAAAATATCGAGCACTCTACCTTCATTGTCGTCATCTCTAACTTAGCCACCAAACTCCGTGTACTGAGGGTTTTCACACAGAACCAATATATATAGCCTAAAAATTGATCTCGTGATAAGATGTGAACGCCGTTGGCAACATAATTATATACTTTATAATTCTGTAACTTAAAAGCCATTTTATATATTAATAGGTGTCATTCATCACGTCGACTCTGTCCTAGAACAGACTGCAGTAATGTGACAACTAATATCGATTATATTGTATTATGAATTATAATTAGCATAAAAATTACATTTCGACATACAGGTCATACATTACTCAAAATCAGTTCGCTTTGAATTCAATTAACTGTTTTGAAATAGTATGGGTTCACACATTCACAATATATCTATTATTATTATGTTGATTTGATGCAATGTAGATAGACTTTTCCTTGTCAGTCCTTCAGGGGCATTCTGTCGCTTGAAAGAAGTTTTCTGATCAGGATCCGATGCATTAGTACATATATATGTACATGAACTGTGCATAGATTCATAAGAGCATAGCTCTTTGTCGTCCGGGCAAAGCACAGTAAATATAAACTTAACAGAGTTGTCTCCCTTCCTACGTATGTTACCAATGATCATCGGATAGTTCATACTCCAGAAACAGCACTCTGCAGGAAAAGGCTTCGCTCAACCACCTTTTGAAAATGTTATGTAGAGATTAGACGATTGGTTGGTAGAATAGACGTTCTTATAACACAAACAGTAGAAGATTAGAATGTGACGTTTCAATGACTACACGACCACCTTCATCAGACAAATGACCAGTTTGGAGCGTACTAGCACTGACGTACGTTGTGTACGAGATAGCACGGAATCGACCAACTTTTCACCTGTGCTATAATCCTACATACAATTATGTCAAAAAATAGTGTGGCGAGACGGTGGACAGATTATCAGTAAGAAATATAAATATGGTGACAATGAACTGCTGTCAATTCGGTCAACACTCGGTCATGGATGTGCGTTGATGTGTAAGAGTCTGCGATACATACTGTCGAGGATATTTTGGCGGAATAACAGGGGGGAAAACAAAAAACAAAATAAAATAAAAAAACCAAACAAACAAACATCCAAAAAAGATTTATATGGAGACCTCTGAAAACAATGTAGAGGGTGGATTTATTAAAGGATCTTTTAACTCAAATTAGAAGATGGTCTTATTACACGATCTCTTGCTAAAAGTATGGATGAATGTAGTCCAAACTGGGAGTACAACTCTACAATATATCTGTAAACAAAGTATACAAACATGCTGTTTTTTTCTGTTTATTACACGACCTCGTTTAGTTTCATCTTACAGTGTGGGACACAAGTCACTACAGGTATAACAGCCTTGTTACACTGTATAAAACACGAACAAGAATGAAAATAAACACAATCATCTTTCGTGAAATGTTTGACAAAAGCCACAATTTTGTTCTTTTTCGTTTTGATTAATTGCTTTGATTGAGTAAGCAAATTGTTCACGTGATCTTAGACAGTTTAAAACTTTTGTATTATTGGGCAAATTGAATTGGTATAAACAACCACGCACTCTTTTGATTCAACAATCTTTTTTGGAGGTTTACACCATGTTTACTTATGACGTCATAATGAATAGACGATAATGCTTTCCAGTTTAATTACGATAATCTGTTTTAATTTTAGAAAATTGTGCTGCCGTGGAGTTATCAATAGGAAAATATCAATCTTTTATTATATGTTGCAATATTTTCTAAACAATATTTCCGTTTCTGCATAATTTATAGTTTTACAAAACTGAAATGATACCATTTTCACGATGATATATCATTAAATCAAATTGTCATTTTCTATAATACAAAGGATTTATTTTGGGAACACAATCACTATGCCTTGAACAGCTGTTAAGATAGGTGATGCAATGACGTGTGGGAGCTGGTGACCTAAGGGTGATTAACAGGGATCAGGAGCCGAATGACAGCAGAAACGTTCATTTACACAATACCTATAAATCACTTCTTAATTGTAAACCCAAATAAACATACATAAATATGATTTGATGTATGCTCCATGATTAGATTTCACTCTTCGAATGTTTCATTCTATTCTACATTCCCAGTGTAAAACTTAAACCCGTAGTCTAAAAAATGTGGTTCTTGTGAGGACAATCAACACCATAAAACCACGAAATCCTGTTGTAAGGTTCATTCATAAATTGTATCACTGTACATGTGTATCCCCAGTACACACATTATGTTCATGCTGTTCCCGATGCCGTGATCATTAGAGGTATTTACCACATTTAATTACTCTTTAAACACATTTTTTTCTTCCGCACGCTTCTCAAAACAATTACCCCTCGGGTGTTATCGAGTCCGTCCCGAAGGTACGCCATACCACCGTAGTTAAAATGGCGTTTTTTGTCGCTCTCCGTGTAACGAGATGTACAAAGACTTGTGTAACGGGGTGAGCATGTTGTCCCTGTAATAGTAGTGACAGCAAGGCAAAACACCATGTTTACATTATTTATCTATTTCCTATGTACAATACAAACATTCACATTCACATTCACAAAGATACCTTAGAATACAATACAGGATATAAGCATCACACTACATAATGACAGTCCATTGACGGGCTGTTTTCAGTTATTCTCAAGCTTCGATGATATAAGCTAATAACTACGCACTTTTTAAGGAATGACTAGAATCTTTCTCCTCCTCGCTGATGAAATAACGGATCTCAACCCGAGGGGAAAAACACGAGGTCTGTAACTTTATCATGATTTTTGTGACCCTCTCACCAACAAGGACATGAATGATTAGTTATTATTTCTCCCCCACACTGACATCATAGGGTATGTGTTTTGGTTGTTTCTGTGCTTGGTATCGCTGACGTAACTTCCGGTTTACTGAAGAGTAGTATCGGTCTTAAACTTACCAAGAGATGAGAATTTTTCACGCCGATAAGAAGCATGGATCGCCTGTACAGGGTATGAGAATACCTTGTTGTTATTTTTGGGTTTTTCTATTAGATATTTTTGAATTAATATAAATTACCAATATTTCAACCACATCAAATGTAAACAGGATTCCAGTATGACTCGCTGCTTAAGTCTAGTTGTTACACATTCCCGTGCAAATTACACAAGTGGGGCTGGTTATTTCAATCGTTGAAAGTTCAGTATCATACATATCTCGAAGACAGAGCTGAATTCAATCAGTTGTATCGTCGGGTGAATGTTTTCTTCATTTTTTTCTGTATTTCTATTATTCGTTATTTTTGTGTTTTTTTTAATTGAATATAGTAGTAGTTGTATTCAAACTTTTGATATTACATGGTTGTATAAAGACATAAAATAAATAACACCTGTTGATGCAAATTTAGAGCTGATGAAATACTGTTTTTATTTCTGGACATTATTTTATTAATCATTGAAATTGTGTAACGCAAAGTTGGGACGGGAACTGTTTTTATGTGTTTCATCAAGTTCCTTCATCAAGCAAAGAGTACAAATGACTGAGCATTGACAACAGTTCACTATTTGGCGATTGGACAATAAAAAGAGCAGTTTATTTTCCCAGACGTATTTTAGTCGCAATAACACTATATTACCACAAGCAATATATGGAACATTTGTTCTTGTATTCTTAGATAATAGATTCCTGAAAGTCGTAGTCAGTTCTAAACACTGGGAAAATGCGACATTTCAGGGATATATTCGTGTCTAAAAAATGACCGATAGTATGCCATCCTCGACACTCGAGATATTGTGTCTGTCTGTCTTTCTGTCTGTCTGTCTGTCTGTCTGTCTGTCTGTCTGTCTGTCTGTCTGTCTGTCTGTCTGTCTGTCTGTCTGTCTGTCTGTCTGTCTGTCTGTCTGTCTGTCTGTCTGTCTGTCTGTCTGCCTGCACCCTTGCAAAATTGAAGGTACAATGTGTTATGCCTTGTGAAGAAGACAAAAAGGCTATACTTTTCTTTTCGGTTAGTCTGATAATGACTAAGACACTCGAGCTTGACCATACAAGAGAAGGCAGAAACTTGTCACCAAATGCCTTATTATAAGCACACGATGCTTTCTCTGAACGTATCTAGGTAATGATATTTTAGAATTCACCTCCTTGGAGAAAGGTTTTTACAGATGTTTTCCAGTCAGACAAACATATATCTGAACAGTTTAAATGGGTTAACTAGAATTACTAGAATATGGGGTTGTATGAAATAGTAACTTTCTGATTTTCCGCGGATGAAATAAAATCGTAAAAAGTAGGCATTTTGAAAATTAAAGATTTCTGGTGAAAACTTTAATCTCTTTCATGTTATCTGTGAACAAATACTTATTAAATATATTCAGTTTCAAGCTTTCAGTTAAATCGTGAAAATGTGAATCGTAATAACGACATTGTGATTATTTTATCATTTCTAAAGTAAGCCAATTGTCGATTTCTTAAAACTTTGTGTTATTTCAAAAGGATGACAAGTACATCATTATTAGACACAAACAAAAGATAATCCCTTTAGGCATAAAATTTATTTGATAATTTTATCAAAGTAAACAGGATTTCAATTGCGATCTCTGTATATCATTTCATACATGATTTGACCCAGTTTTGACGACACCATTTTGGTGTCTTCTTTGCGACGAACTTGCCTCCTCCAATCCGCACTGCCGCATAGTAGATATCAGCGTGCGTTTTACAGGACTCTCGTTTAAAGAATTTATCAACTGCATTCTTTCCGTTGAGGGTTCCACATATCTGTTTCATGTTTTTCTTAAATCTTCTGTCGCACTGGAGTCGTGAAAGGCCAAACCTCCGAAACTATTTATAAACATGTAGAAAAGATTTTTAAGCATATCATGTATTATCTGTTTATATTAGAGAGACATGCAAATACGAATCGTTTCTTTTCTAAGCACTTTCAATTAATTTGATAATGTTCAAAACAGATCGATTTTAATGAGCATCTAGGATATCCATATCCTGAGCCGTTCCGCTATTTGTGTGAATTCAATATTCCTGGCTATTAAATTATTAACAATAAACACGATCCAAGTTAACCAATTTCAGTTTTTGTATGCTTTCCTCAGATCGTTCGTGTTAGTGCTTGATCCATTGAACAGCGTTATACACGTTCAACTAACAAAGTTCCTGTATTTGTGGACTAAAAGGTCGGAAAACAAAACGTGGTTGATGATTCAAATTTACAAAATAGTTCTTCAGGCCCTTGTGATACTTACACAGTTATAACATATGTCATGTTTGTTACAGGCAGGTTTGAACCTCCCTTTGAACTCGATTTTAATACCCTTCGGCACACTACATCCATTGGAGTACGGGTTCAGGTTACAAGTGTACTTTAATTGTATGGTCGTCACAATCATAGACATCAAGCATAATACCAAAAGCGCCACCTGTAAATATCAAATTCAAATATAAAGAATCATCGAAAAGTCAATTATGTTGATTTCTTTGCTAAGTGTATTTTTTTTTCAGAAAATGTTTTAATACATTCATTAATATTGAAAATTGAAAATGATGACGTTTCAAGTTTTAATTAAAATGCCATTGCTTTGTATGTTCTCTAATGTGAATACGTTTGTTCCGTACAAGTGGTTTGGGGAGTCTACGATATGTTCATGTAAGCCTTCTGTTGCCTGACGCTGACTTTAGAGCGCAATTTACACTGAAGTATGTATGCTGCCATATGCACCCTGTAGGTCACCTCGCACTGATTCATCATACCAACACCATTTCAAATTCAACAACGAGGAGAATAACAAATCTTACACATGTAAGGGTAATACAATTTACACAGAAAAAAAAACACACAACAAACGATACCAGCATGTGAACAACATCTTAATTAAAACTCATATTCGATGACACTAAAGCAAAATATGAACAAAACAGAGGATTAAAAGGAGACTACAAGGAGAATTATACCAAGTGTTTCAGAAAAGTAAAGTTTTCATTGTCTGCACTTACCATGTAAGTAATAGCCAATTAAGGTCAATCATATTCCCAAATTAAAACAAGGTTAACCATAACAATAAAACGCAAACACGAGGTGTTTTAATGAGCATCAGACACGTGCAATTTTATACCGCCCAAGGACATAGAATATTTCACAATGAGGTCATTTTGACGACCATGAAGTTTTCCCGTAATGGTCATTGATCTGCATCCTTCGAAATCATGTTCTCAGAGTTTATCTATCAGTTATCTGAAAGAAATATAGTGATGCTAAGATAACGTGTGTCGGCACAATGACAGGAGAAAAACTGATCCCAATCAGCTGATACATGTAAGTTAAGTATCAGGAAGCAACATAACGATTTGTAAATGGATGCTATTTTGTATATGCAATATGACGAAATTTGCTTTCCTGTGATATGATAATGACCAACAACACAAAAACAAAATTTGTCACTCTTTAGAATACCATTAACTGTATACATGCGTTTTGTTTTAAATGAATAACACATTCTTGATACAAATTTGATAACTATGGAGTACAGTGTAGTAATTAATTGACGCCGTTTAAGTTTCGCAAACACCTGTTGTTATATTGGGGCCTAGAACTCCACGATTTCTCTTTCACTCCGTGTACTCCGTTTTTTCTTTCAACAAGAGTGATTAGTATAAGTTTTTGAAATAACTTAATTCGCAATTGTTATAAAATAAATAATGTTTATATATATGCTCTTTTAAAAAAGTCCCCCATCCCCTTTTTTCATTAAGACTTGAAAGAACAAATGACATATAGGGTCCGATGAAATCGACAGCCATCAGAAAAATATACTTGTCAAAGGCAGGGAATGCTTTGCTTTTATATTGTTTTACCTCCTATCAACTGCTGTTGTCAATAAATGACGATCTCTACATGTTTTTGCAAATGCCTAAAAAAAGACAAAAAAAAAAAAGACTGAAAACCTTTCTTTGTATTGCCCTTTTTCAAGTTATGATAACTCATACTCCGTAGTCTAGACAAACTACACATGCATTACATAGAATCTGATGAAATAACATCAACCACTCTACCTTCATAGCTGGCATCTCCGACTTAGTCACCAGCAGCCGTATGATGTATGTAGTTAAACAATTAAAAATATATATATGTATGTACGTCATTCAAACAGTTTCGTAATGAAATATTAACGCCGTGGGCAAATATACAAATATATAAAAGATTAAAAGTTTTAATTGTTGTCATATATCACATTCACACATGTCTACAACAGATTGGAATAACGTTAAAATGACTACCAGCTTAATTATCCCAATACTGAATGTATAATTAGTACAATCTAATTAGACCATTTTGACATTCGTTGACCGTGTTTAACTATAAAAACCACGTGTTCCGGAAACGTATGCGTCTCCAGTTTCGTTGACGACAATCACCTTGGTCAATTCAAATAAGTAATGTCACGTTCTCAAATGAGAACATTGTACACATCAATGAAACCAACAGGCGAACAAGTGAGCATCAAACACGTCCAGCTTCATATCGCAGAAAAAAATAGATTATTTTTCAATGAGATCACGATGACGATAGTAAAACTTTATCATTATTTTCATCAAACTGAAATCTGTTGAACCCTTTGTGACGAATTTGTCCCTCCGTTGACGACGCCTTGCACGAAAATAGTGGTTGCAGACTCAGAAGTATTGTTATCCAGAAATGGAAAGTTCACGGTTGGGAAATTGAAATCAACACGCGTATCATACAGTTTGGTGGGAAAAAGTCCATGTTAGTTTCTTTGTAGGAACTGAGATCAAGATTAACGATAGATGTGGAATAGTCTGTCTTGCCTTTGATTTCAAATTCTTTTGGGTATATACGAACACGTGGTCAACTATTTAAGGTCAAGACATCATCAATACATCTGAAAGTGAAATTAAACGACTTTGCAAGTTTCTACGAAAACAGCATGTCAGCCAACGAGGGGCACAGTTATTTTCTATCGGTATACCAATAGTATTATGGGATGTTGTCAACTAGAAACTCAATCATTTTTATTATTTCGTCCTCCGCATACTTCTTCATTGTCTAGGACGCATTTTTCACGAATTTAGATTTAGTAAAGCTCATAGTCATACATCTGTACCATCGGTCGTAATAAGGAAACTAAAATATCATTATTATATTACAGTTTCGTAGGGAAATGTTATCTAATTGTTTCGATATTGGACAATGTCAAGATAAGCAACTGAAGTTGGAGAGTCTCTTGTGTTTTGTTTATTATATCAGATGGACATGGTCAATACACCTTTGATACTGTAAAATTGCATCTTTTGGTTTATAACAAAAGATAATAAAACGAAAAAAGTTTACGTTTGTACTTGATTTTGCAAATTAGTTTGTACCTCCATAAATCTACTTACACGTTTGAATTCGTGAGATAAGAATCGATGAAAATAAATTTCCAACGAAAATGATTGATTTTACAATAAAGAAAATTACTATCCAACTAGTAAAGAATTTATATACATTTTGTTTTCATGTCATGATTTCATTCATTTGAATGGTAGCGTGGTTCATACTATACATTTGTACTTGACTTTCTGTATATTATTAGATATATGAATAAGGACGGAATTCACTGTGTTATTGGAATAGTGCAACTCCCCATCTAGATTTTAGCATTGCTTTCAATGACTGTTGGTTTTCCTCAGTCGCCTCTTAGGGATTGTACAAAAGACACACAAGTGAATAAAACCTCTTAATTTAGAGTGACATACAGTAGAGCCAAAACCTGCCTTTTAGCATTTAGGTTCAACATTTAGGTGCCTAGCATCACTGTCTAGAAGGACGACACATATGTATAGTGGAGTTTAATCCATTGTTCTTCCATATCTTCTAAAATTTGTAATAAGTTGTGCTATTCACGTGTGGTTTTTCTACAACCTTCTATGACAGCTTTATATAGAAAATATAGATAGAAATATAATACTAGTTATAGCAAACAATTACTCGTGTGATATTTCTTGTATAAAACAATCAAAATAAATACACGTGAAAGCTATTTTATTGTTAATCTACATGTGGATTTCCCCAAACCATGTCGTCATAAGGAATGGACGATGAACATGAATTAATGTTCAATTACGATTTATCGCTTTAAGTTTAGACAAGTGTATTATCATGTGATTGTTAACAGGATTATTAATCTTTTATAATGTTCTCTTGATATGATCTTTAAATTAGTATTTCAATTTCTGTATAATTCTCAAAGACGAAATGACACCATTTTTTTATCATAAAACAACAATGTTTTACAATGACAACAGTAAGTCACATTGTCATTTTCTCATTTACATTGGAAAAAAATTTCGCTAACTCAAACATATTTCTTGAGGTTGTTAGGCTAGGTGATGTCAGGGTGTGTGGGAGCTAGTAACCTAAGGGTGATAAACAGCGAACAGCAACAAACTGGCAGCTGGGACGTTCATTTACACAAAATAAAAATATTTTAATCACCACTTTGCATAACATTTTACCCACCCACTCACACACCGTCGAACATACCACCATCCACACACCACCACCAATACACACACATACACACACAAACACACACAAACCACCACCACCACCAACAACAACAACAACAACACACACACACCTTAGTGTGTGTGTGTGTTTGTGTTTGCGTGTGTGTGTGAGGGTGTGTGTGTGAAACGGATTTTGTGCTAATCACAATATCAAAAACAACAGGGATTCGCAGTGGTACAGTGTAAAATTCCACACTGTAGTACATGCGAGTATATGATGGTATGAAAGTCCAACAATGTTGAAACAAGGGAGCTCGACATAACCTGCAGTATGTCCTATTCGGCAAAAAATGTAATGTAAGTGATAAAATGCCCGGGTTGCAAGGAACACATTTGGGAAACTAGTAACACATTGCAAGCTCATCCGATTTTTGCTGAGCCTGAATCATTCATCGGATCTCTGCTGAGACTGAAACACTCACCAAATCTGTGTTGATCATTTATCACTCACCTGATCTCTGGTGAGTCTGAATCACTCACTTGATCTCTGCAGAGCCTGAATAACCTACTTGATCTCTTCTGAGCCTGAATCACTCACTTGATCTCTGCTGAGACTGAAACACTCACCAAATCTGTGTTGATCATGAATCACTCACCTGATCTCTGGTGAGTCTGATCACTCACTTGATCTCTGCAGAGCCTGAATAACCTACTTGATCTCTTCTGAGCCTGAATCACTCACTTGATCTCTGCTGAGACTGAAACACTCACCAAATCTGTGTTGATCATGAATCACTCACCTGATCTCTGGTGAGTCTGAATCACTCACTTGATCTCTGCTGAACCTGAATCACTCATCCGATCTCTGCTGAACCTGAATCATTATTCATCTGATTTTTGTTGAACCTGAATC